AAAACAAGGATAGAAAGTTTAGGTTGTCTAAATTCTCCATCTGCCTCGCTCAAGAATCAAACTGAAATACTGCCTTATTGATTTATTCATTAAACAATGCCCAACGAAATCAAATAAAAATCAATTCAGAAAACCTCTCACATGAGCACTCATACAGCAATACATCCACACGAGTACTAATCGGATAGACATGCTTTGTATTCAGTACTTGAATGGACTTTTGAAATAATTTGATAGATACCATACTGTAAATTAAATTACGAGGAAGAGTAAATATAAATCAAGGAAACAGATGAATGGACTGTATTGATTGCAAAACACTCAAATATAGAAACCTACAAAAGGTGACCTGCTTCTTTCATGGTAAGAGTGTCGGGAGGAAGAGTAGGTGGCAAAGAAAAACAAGAAACAAATTCTCCTGCTCTTTGGTTCAGCATAAAAGCAGTCTTTAAAGAAACATAGTTTTACATGCAATGCTACAACATTTCTACATTGAAGTTAGGAGGAAAAACTTACTGTAATCACCATCGGTGCAAATGGCTCCCCTTGTTGCTCAATAGGAGTTGGGGGATATGTTACACTGATAACTTTAAACCTTATCTAGCATTTGGAAAGAAAAAAGTAAGAAACAAGTTGAAGTTTAGAGCCTTTTCCTATAAAAGAAGAGACACCACCAACCTCATCAATGCCATCTACAAAAAACTCTTCGCCATTAAATTCCCACACCCATAGGACCTTATACCTGCAATTTTCATTATAGACATTCACAATTCATTATTTGTCAACACAGATGTAAAATGCGAGGCAAGAAAAAAAGAAGAAAAATGCCAAGTAGAGGAGATTCCATTTCCAATTATTAGCCCAATACAGGAAACTAGATGGGGAACCTTACCTATTCTCTGGGTCTGGAACACGATGGGATGGTTTTTGTATAAGACCAGCTGGTATGTTAATATCATCAAAAAATCCAAGTGACACTGTCGAATATGGTTTCAACATCAGTATGCAGGAACCATATAGATATAGCTCAACACAATGAAACAAAACAGAAATTAAAGAATGCAAAATGTTGGCTTAATGTTTGCAACAAGTAAAACCAAAAAGACATCGATAAAACAAACAAGGCTTAATTTTTGCAAAAAGTAAAACCAAAAAGACATCGATAAAACAAACAAGATCATGTTGTAAGAAAATGGATCCATTAAATAGCCTCCCATCCTCGCAACCTGTAAAACCCAGCATACACCAGCATATTACCTAGATAATCCCTGGGAATGACTATTCATGTTCCTGAGCCCAGAAAAAATGAGCAACCCAGCCTACAGATCATGCAATGACGGGGAAACTTCCAAAGTGTCCCCACCCCCTTGTTGCCAAAAGAGGTGGAAGATGCAAAAAACATGAAAAGCTGCAGCCAGCAGTTGCAATTAGTTGCGTTTCTGTGAAACAAGCTAACTGAGAGAAAGGACCATTTTAAAAGTTAAACTTGCAGAGGCAAGTTAACCAAAGATAAGGGATACCAATGATATGACTTGAGAAAACAAGTGCTTATATTAAATTATAATTCGTGAAGCAACAGATGGATTCTCTACAATTATGTCCCCTCAGATATAAAAAACAAAGCGTCATGCCAGTTAACTGATGCAGTCCTCAACAACTTCCTGCACCAACTATAGCCTCTAGTCAATTTATCATGCCATGGAAAAATTGCAATATAAAAAAAGATTGTACTATCAAAAAAAGAGGAGGAGAAGATAGAAACAAATGATATGCGGAAGTAACTGTTGAACATACAGCGCAAACCATCTGCGGTGGATTCTTTAAGTTTCGCAGATATAATCTCTCCCACAAAAGGACGAAAAACAATCATTCTAAACTCCACCTGTCAAAATAATTAAACACCATCATTTACTCACTGCAGATTAGTTCTTTAGTAAAAGCAGACACTTCTTGCAAAGTACACTGAATGTGTTTTACATAGATATTCAACAAAAGTGACTGCGTATGCCCCTCCGAACAAGTTCACATGTTTTATAATTCAACAGTCTAACTGAAAGTTGAAACCATTGTCAAGGAAAAGAAACACGCTTCACAACTAAAATTCTAGAAATGTGAAAGATGGCACATAGGCACTAGCTAAATTTACCCTTTTCTAGGAGGCAGCTAAGGAAGGACCCAATTCTAGTGAATCGTGAGCTGTGAACTAATGAATCCACAATAAGTTTCACAGCATCAATGAGGGTTGGCATCTTCCCTAGGTAGTATACTCAAAACGTTAAATAAATAAAATGGAAAAAGTTTCCACAAACTACACAAAGATTTGAAATTCAGGGGGGATAAATAGTCCATATGCTTAAGACAATATTCACATAAAACACATCTATTAGACTCAAAATGCTAGCACAGAAAAAGAAGAAGGGAAAACACAAGCACAAAAAGGAAAAGCCATGGCTTACCGTATAGGTTGAAGCACCTTCACCGGGAGATATAAAGCCACCATCAATTTTTCTGATGTCATAGATTGAAATGCAAAGTCCCAGCTTTGATATAACCTTCATTGCAAACAATAATTTCCATTTTTACTCAATATTTCAAAGTGCTTAACATGAAAATACAAGGACAGAAAGGAAGAAATATACAAAGGGAAATACTAACTACCTTATCCAAGAAGATATTTTGAAGCTCTTCCTTGATAGCATCTTGGAGAGGAAGATTCAGAAGACGAGGAGGCAATAGCATCTTGTGCTCTATCAAGCTCAGATAGAACATCTTTTTTTCTTTTTTCTTTTCTTTTCTTTTCTTTTCTTTCTGAATTTGCCTACCAAATAACTTTCGTAAACCAGAAAAAGAAAAACAGAGAAGGAAGCCAAAAGCAGCGGATGATTAAATTGAACAGCAAATACTACACGGTCTGCTTCATATTAAATTCACTGATAGTACTTACTTTGTCAATTGAAACACGATCAGTAGGAGCTAAAATCGGAGCCTTGCCGTAGAAAGGAGCGCTGCAGGAGGAGGAGGAGGAGGAGACGGGTTTTTTTTTTAATCGCGTTTTGTATAGGGTTTAGGTACCAAAAAAAAAAAAAACGAAAAAGAACAAAATCGCGCGTGTTTTTTTGTAAATATAATAAAAGGAAAAAGACCAATTTTTTAACCAATGAGCAATGGACACGTGTACGGCTCTATCGCTCACCGCTCGTGTTCTTACTTATAATCGGCGGGACAGAGGAGCAGGAACATTGAGAAACCAGAGTAGTTTTCTTCATTCTATACTCCAATATTATCAGTCATCCGTGTTCAGTTTGGTGACATGTGGCAGTTATTGAAGTCTCTTCATTATCGACAACCTCGACCAGCTATCCGTGTTCCTCGACAGGTCTCTCACTTTGTCTCCTCCTTGTTGCAATCATGAAAAAGGAGCTGCTGATCTGTTTCTTTTCAGAATCGGTCTTCCTGCGTTCGATTTTTATCTGTTTTCTACTTTTTTATTATATTTTATTGTTCTTCTCTGTGTTTTTTTTTTCCATCCATAAATGGCCTGCGTTCGATTTCTATCTGCTTTCTACTTCTGTAATATATCTTAGTGTGTTTCTCTTCTGTGTTTTTTAACATTTTTTTCTGAAAATTTTTAAAGATCATGATTTAATAATGTTAATTTGGATTTTTATTATCTGTGGTATCAGATTTCGGGCAGTCAAAAGAGAGAGATTCCTGATGTTGTGATTGAATTTTAAGTAAACAAACAGTAAAATTTTATTGTAAATTATTAGGAATGATTTATATTTATGTTTGCTTCTTTATCATTTGTAGTTCCATGGGTGGATTCCATCGATATCGTTCCGAGCTTGATGCAATGGAGGCTAAGCTTGCTTCATGGTCGTTTGCTTTTGTTTTTGAAACTTTTTCAAATGTATTACCCTTTTCTAGGAGGCAGCTAAGGAAGGACCCAATTCTAGTGAATCGTGAGCTGTGAACTAATGAATCCACAATAAGTTTCACAGCATCAATGAGGGTTGGCATCTTCCCTAGGTAGTATACTCAAAACGTTAAATAAATAAAATGGAAAAAGTCTCCACAAACTACACAAAGATTTGAAATTCAGGGGGGTTAAATAGTCCATATGCTTAAGACAATATTCACATAAAACACATCTATTAGACTCAAAATGCTAGCACAGAAAAAGAAGAAGGGAAAACACAAGCACAAAAAGGAAAAGCCATGGCTTACCGTATAGGTTGAAGCACCTTCACCGGGAGATATAAAGCCACCATCAATTTTTCTGATGTCATAGATTGAAATACAAAGTCCCAGCTTTGATATAACCTTCATTGCAAACAATAATTTCCATTTTTACTCAATATTTCAAAGTGCTTAACATGAAAATACAAGGACAGAAAGGAAGAAATATACAAAGGGAAATGGTAACTACCTTATCCAAGAAGATATTTTGAAGCTCTTCCTTGATAGCATCTTGGAGAGGAAGATTCAGAAGACGAGGAGGCAATAGCATCTTGTGCTCTATCAAGCTCAGATAGAACATCTTTTTTTCTTTTTTCTTTTCTTTTCTTTTCTTTTCTTTTCTTTCTGAATTGGCCTACCAAATAATTTTCATAAACCAGAAAAAGAAAAACAGAGAAGAAAGCCAAAAGCAGCGGATGATTAAAATGAACAGCAAATACTACATGGTCTGCTTCATATTAAATTCACTGATAGTACTTACTTTGTCAATTGAAACACGATCAGTAGGAGCTAAAATCAGAGCCTTGCCGTAGAAAGAAGCGTTGCAGGAGGAGGAGGCGGGGGTTTTTTTTTCAATCGCGTTTTGTATAGGGTTTAGGTACCAAAAAAAAACGAAAAAGAACAAAGATCGCGCGTGTTTTTTTGTAAATATAATAAAAGGAAAAAGACCAATTTTTTAACCAATGAGCAATGGACACGTGTACGGCTATATCGCTCACCGCTCGTGTTCTTACTTATAATCGGCGGGACCGAGGAGCAGGAACATTGAGAAACCAGAGTAGTTTTCTTCACTCCATACTCCAATATTATCAGTCATCCGTGTTCAGTTTGGCGACATGTGGCAGTTATTGAAGTCTCTTCATTATCGACAACCTCGACCAGCTATCCGTGTTCGTCGACAGGTCTCTCACTTTGTCTCCTCCTTGTTGCAATCATGAAAAAGGAGCTGCTGATCTGTTTCTTTTCAGAATCGGTCTTCATGCGTTCGATTTTTATCTGTTTTCTACTTTTTTATTATATTTTATTGTTCTTCTCTGTGTTTTTTTTTTCCATCCATAAATGGCCTGCGTTCGATTTCTATCTGCTTTCTACTTCTGTAATATATCTTAGTGTGTTTCTCTTCTGTGTTTTTTAACATTTTTTTCTGAAAATTTTTAAAGATCATGATGTAATAATGTAAATTTGGATTTTTATTATCTGTGGTATCAGATTTCGGGCAGTCAAAAGAGAGAGATTCCTGATGTTGTGATCGAATTTTAAGTGAACAAACAGTAATTTTTTTTTGTAAATTATTGGGAATGATTTATATTTATGTTTGCTTCTTTATCATTTGTAGTTCCATGGGTGGATTCCATCGATATCGTTCCGAGCTTGATGCAATGGAGGCTAAGCTTGCTTCATGGTCGTTTGCTTTTGTTTTTGTAACTTTTTCAAATGTATCGCAGTGTCAGCTATCACTCTTGCATTTGAGCTTTACTGGGGGGAGCCCATGCGAGAAGGGGAGGCGGGCTTGGTTTTATTTTTTCACATCTAAACCCAGCATTCAAGTGTTGATTCTTTTGTGGGTGAATCAGCTTCATGGACATTTTCCCTAACCCTATTGCATACTAGATGCCTGGAGAAGTTGAGGAAAGAGGTGAATGACCATTGGTGTTGTGAACCTGGTTTAACGCATCTGGAAATGGTTAGTAGAGAATACCATATCTGGAAATGGTACGTGTTTCTGATTAATGATAAACTTTTCAGTGATCAGTTTATGCACCATCTTTGGATCATGGTGTTGGAGATCCAGAAGATGGATATCTTTGTGAGCCTGCAGTAAGTAATCGTTTACTTTATTAACATGCACAATTTTTTTCCAGTGGAAGCTATTTTTGTTTTTTTGGAAGGTTAAACATGCCTATAAATCCTATTTTCATGCCCGTTGCAGGCATATAAAGTGGCCATAGTTGAAGGAAATTATCTATTGTTGGAAGATGGGGCTTGGAAGGATGTGTCTTCAATGTTCGATGAGAAATTAAGTGTTATGTTCTTGCTAGGCTAGGACGTGTCTTCAATGTTTGATGAGAAATGGTAAGTGTTATGTTCTTGCTAGGTTATTTTCCTTCTCTATTTTGTCGTGGAGCAGATATATATGCTGAGTATTCATGCCAAATTTTTTTCATTAGTGTTATTTTCCCTAGTTTTTATACGTCTGACAGGGCTGGCATGTAGCAATAATGTTGAGAGCTGTATCATGCTTAAGGGCAACTTTGCATTCTTAAGTTCTGCTTCCGAGAGCTTTTCTCACGTGGTTCAAATCAGTGTTTCAAAATATGTTTTATGAATGTCCTCCCTTGGCACGAGACAGAATTTCAGGGTCACTTTGAACCTTGTATCTTTACATTGGATTATCCTCTCATGATGCTGTCCATGCCAGAATATGGAATCAAAAGCACAAGAAAAATGAAGATTAAGTCTGGAAGTTAGATGTATAACGATACACACTGTTGGGATGCAACATGGTCTTTAGATCACAATGTGTTGCAAACCTGCAGTCCATTTCAGTTAACATCATCTTGGGTTCGTGCTACTGTTTGGATTAGTAACTGCTGTTTCCCTTGCTTTGCTAATTTATGAAACCAGACGTGAGGAATTGGCACTTAATTCTTACAGGTCATACACTTAATGAAAACGTCCGATGACTAACCTTTTACCACATCTTTCAACTCCCCTTTCAACACACAAGATTTTCCTATAGGATAGAATTGTATAGACTGTTATGAGCAGATGATAACTTTAACTTGAATGTTTTGAGGTTGGGTGGATTGCTTGCACCATCCTGGAAGTGTGCCCCATCTTCACAGCAAGCCACTTTTATCTCTTCTGTTTTTTTTTTTTTTAGGGTTTATTGATGTGGACATTGATACAGAAAGGCATATAGTTTTAAAGAGACACATTTTACAAGGCATGGCCTCATTTTCTGTTTTTACTGTTTACTGCTTCTACAGTTCTACTAGGGAAAGGAAAGAAAGTCTTGTGATTTTAATTCCATGTTGTCTAACAGGAAAGCCTCCAGATGTTTCAAAATGGCGGGTAAGCCTCACTTTGTTGTCATCTTCAAACTTGGTATTTTTTTTTTTGGATTGCTGGTTTCTCCACATCAATCTTACTTTCTTGATTGTAAATTTTTTTTTGGATTGCTGGTTTCTCTACATCAATCTTACTTTCTTGATTGTAAATGTAATGTGGAATTAAATTCATCTGCAGATAGGACAACGAGCAGCGTAATGCAGAGCTGATTATCAAGTCAAAGAAAAATGCAGATTTAGTAATCAGGTCTATCAATTTCTAGAATTGATATGATGAATTAATGGAGAAAGAGAAATGAGATCACATTTTCCTGTTAGGCGTTAACTTAATGGAAACTGAAAAAATGAATAAATAAATGAAGGATATGGCTGCTTCTTTTTTCTCCTTGCTTCTAACATTTTCATTCACATGTTCATTTGTTACTTCAAGATTCAGACTAACCAAGTTATTCAAAATGCAGTTTTTTATAGAAGCAAGTTAATGCCTGGTTCCCTTTATAGTTTGTACAGAGAGAAGTCAATAGACTGTAAAACCTGATTCCTTTGGGCACCTAACACGGGAAATTGTGATCTGATTAATTGATTTGTGGCACATAGTTGGAAACTACTTTAGTTGCTTGTTAAGCATAATAGCCTCTCACTGACCAAGTAAATAATTGCTGTACAAAGAGATGCCTTGATTGTTTTACAGATAATGCGTTGCAAAATGTTTCTCGAGATAGTTGCTTATGACCTTTATGTGCTGCTCTCTTCTTTGTTCTTAAAATTCTAAAGTGGTTTGACTGTTGAATTTCTGGGGACAAACCGCAGCCTCTGTTAAAGGTAAATGGAATTATTCTATATTCCATATGTGAAATATATTGCTCACCCTTGGGCTGCATAATGTTGCGTGAGACAAGTCGGAACATGGTCTGGAGGCTGCATGACATGTTGCTTGAATGCATTAGAAAGCCCATTCATTTCCCACGAAGTCGGGCTAATTTCTCCTCCAAGAACAAAAGACGATGGCAGATTGGTGTCCAGATTTCCAAACAACAAAAGCCGAAGAATACGTGTGGCTTACGGGTAATTTGATTATTTATTTGTTTATTTTCTTAGGGTATCATGTTATTTGGATGTGAAAGGAGATGCTTCCATAGTACCTTTTTGTATCTTGAAACATTCTTCACCGTTATCAGCTTGATGTGCAGTTTCATGGCTACCCTGTTCGTCTCTAAACCTAGCTGCACTTTTTACGCTTTTCTATCCATCAAACAAAAGCAACTTGTGAGAGTCAAACAAGAGAGAGGAGGAGTTGGGAAGCAAGACAATACATAAATTGCACAGATAAATTTAAGAAAGCTTTGCTACAAGGTTAGGGGGGGAAGCCATATGCTTTGCAAGATTTTTACATTCCTTGTCAGCACTGAAATGAGTTTTGCTTTAGAGGGAGAATCCTGATTCCTCATCCTCCTCGAGGGAGGATGTGGAGACAAAGTAGAGAGACCAGATAAGAGCTAACACACCCAACAGGATCCAAACATGAAGTTTGTTGCTCAAACCAAAGGGAAGGCCTGTTCCTTTGGTGGATAATCTCTCATCCACCAGAGCCAAGGCTGGACTTGATATGGTTGCAGCACAGACAGCTGCCACCAATGATGCACTAATTCCCTTGCTTTTTTCCTCCACAGTAGGCTTTCCCCCCATGGAGCAGCTCGCTTTTCCCTTCTTTGCTATTGCGGGCAAGCCTGGATCCATTCATGAAGTTGAATAAAGCAGGACATTGAACAGGATAGAATGCCCAGTCAAATGACGATAACTCTGATCAAGTCAACATATTCTTCACCCTATCCAATTATTACAGTCATTAGATCCATGTTTTTTCGTTGAGAAAGATGCAGTATCTACTTTGATAAGAAGAGCTCGACAATGTAATGAGAAATTACTGAAAATAAGATACAAATGACAATAATTTCTTTCCATGATTAAATTCATGAGAAGAAGCTGATGGTCTTACGAAGAACATGCGAGGAAGAGACTCCTACAGGCGGCCTGTGTGCAAGGGCTGCACGAACGGTTGATGATGTAGCGGTACTAGCAGTAATGGTGGCCATACTTCTTCAATTTGGGAGAAACTCGCTTCAGGACTGAGTGCAACTACAAAGGATACCGAAGAAGAAGAAGCGAAGGGTACCGCAAGATTTTACAAATTAATATTATCGACACGTTTGTTTCTTGAAAATTATAAAATTATATTTTATTTTATTTATATTTATTTGATATTAAAAAAATTGATCAATAAAAAATACTTTTCAGTTAAAAAAAATCTGGATTAGTTTTCAAAAAAATATTTTTCTGAAAAATTTAAGCAAAAAATATTTTTTAAAAGTTATAAAAAATTTAAAATATCATATTAATTGATAATTATATCAAATTTAGTTTTCAAACTTCTAATTACTATATATATTTTATTTTAAATAAAATAAAATATTAATAAGTTATTTTTTAATTTATTTTTCAATTTATTTTTTATTATATCACTACACATTATAAAATAATTCATTTATTCAGAATTTATTTTTTAAAAAAATTATGTTTTAAGCAAACAAAGGGAGGCTATGTATCCAAATAAAGTGTGTCCAGCGCACCACATAACATGGATAGGTAGGCAGCCCCACATTTGATATCCGCTATCCGTAGGAGTCCAACCACCTTCTTCAACGTGCGACATAATCCAGTTAAGAGGCCAAGTAATTATAAAGCAGTGGGTCAGTGACATAGAGCCGCATCTTTCCATAGCTGAGATCATCGAACCGGCTTCAAGTTCCATTCGTTATTGCAGGTAAACACTGTGGGACTCACTCGTGGCTGGTAGGGACGTGGTTCAATCACGGTGATTGAACTCGAGATACATGGGGGCATTTTCTGATGTGAAGTAGAAAAAAACTAGTTTATATGTCAAGTGTCATAAACTGCTTTCAGTTATTCCTGGATATTGCACTGTTTTAAGTAAGGATGGACATGGTTGATACGTTTGGTCCAGTAAGTCTTGTACTTCCCAATACCAGTATCCAGCCATGGTTTCATGACTCCATCATAGCGTAATACCGCTGCCTGCTCAATCTCGTCCTGTCCATCATCCCCCTGATAGCCGAGACCAAGTTTATGCCATCTCCTGTCCAGATTAACTGTCCGGTTGTAGAAAGTTGCCCAACCTTAAGGCAAACTCCCCGCCTTCGACAATTGCCTTTTGTAGCCCTGCAACAGATAATGTAGCAAAACAAGCCTTCTAAGATGCATGAAAGTTGAAGATAGATTCAACCAATCATCGCCCAAGAGAGTCTCACAAAGCCCGGCCTACATTAGATTTCCATGCTAGATGTTGTATTACATGCTGATGCTTTTTTTTTTTTTTGACGATGAAAATACCAAAACCAGGTGCTTTGGGCCCAACGCAGGCTGCAAACCCCTGAGACCATGAACTGCACCTCACCCGTGTACAGGGCGAATTGACGGTATAATCTCAGCATGGCAAGATGGGAGTCAAACCCCTGACATCAGACCAGGGAACTCCCAGTCTTACCAACTGAGCTACCCATGAGATATTAATACATGCTGATGCTCGTAAATGATCTATATATGTGATATTAAGAGCACGTTGATCAAAACATGGAAAAATCGAGAGAGGAGTAAACATCTTTTGAAGATGAACAATGCTAAATCAGCAAGCATGTTTTTCAGAACAGCAGAGATAACATAAATCCAGAAAGCATGTCAGCATGCAAGCATAAGCAAATGTGTAACAAGAGATAGTCACGTACCAGTTGCAAGTATTTATTATAGAGAGCTGTTAAATTATGCCTCTTCCACTCTTGCATATCAAACAAATTCATTCCAAATGCCCATGTGCATGCCTTGACATTAAACCTCTTAATCACAAATGGATCTGAGAAATTGATGAACATATCCATCCGGCAAAATGAAGGTTTGTTGCACACCACGCAAGTTATAACAGCCTCATCAGAAGCCTGAAGTGAAATCTGTATACACAAGCTAGAAAACAATTAAAAAAGACAGATGCAGTTTACCATGGCAGAGGACAAGGTAGAATTGACAACCACTGCACAGGACAGAACATTACCAGTGAAAACAGCACAGTGATGAAGATCTGGATCCTGCACCCTTTGTTGGTTAGAGATCTGTCTTTCCTCAGCTGGCAAGGCAGAATCTTCAGCAGTCAACCGCATAGAAAGGCAGTGTAGGCCTTTCGGTGTAGTCCTTCCTGCAAGCTGAACAAGATATGTTGCTTGATTCTTCTGAGCTCGAACCTCTTCTTCAGCATTGTAAGTCATGGCGCAGAGCTTTGAAGCCATGGCAGAGCAGTCTGGGAAAACACGACTGACTCTTGACAACATAACCTCCAAGGATCTCATTTTCTGATGTGCACTGTAAATGTATATATTAATGTTCGGATTTTAAAACAATTCAATTCTTCTCCAATATGTACAAGCAATTATCAGATTTTATTTGCTGAACCACATTCTAGAATTCCTTGTCAACTTTAAATTAATGCCCTGCATATTGAAAAAATCAGCATCAAAATACAAAGTATAACGATGATGTGATACCTCCTTGATAAATCTGAGTCCTTGTTGGATGAACTAACAGCTCCTTCTGATTATTTTATTCGGTGTCTCAACTCTTTTACTAAGCGATAGTTGCTGCCTGGTGGCCACATGCTTAAGTATGTCTTCCCTCTAAGCACATAATCTTTCATCTTCTTTACCTTCCTATCTGTAGATCTCTGAATTGGATACCCCTGCAGTCAAAACCAGAACATATGATAGACAATTAGAACAGCCGACCATGCTTGTATCTAACTTAGGAGCCATTTGTTTATGCGGTGCGGCCGACTTTAAAATATATATATACATATATATATATATATATATTAACGAAAATTCCTTTTAAAAACAATGGTACTATAATATCAAATCCTGCTTTATTTTACAACAAATCTGCATCACAAGCATAAAGAATTTTCTTAGCAACCAAACTTAAAAGCGAGACTTCTTACCAAATTTGACAAATCAGAAATCAATTCTTCCCGCCCTGCCACAACAAATCTACAAAAAAAGAAGAAAAAAAATCAATCAAATCACCAATTATAGCAACATCAAAACCATGATTCTACTAATGTAGAAATCTTCAGTGAAAATAACAAGAGATTCAATGATCAGTAAATTTTTATCCTCAGTAAAATTCCATTTCCTTATCAACGTGTTTTGAATGTTTAACAAACAGAAACAGAAAACTGAAAAAGAAATTTACCTAGAGAAACGATAAGGATGGGAGCCAGCACAGTTAAATAGAGCACAGAGAGTGTCAAAATCCAGTGCCACCGTCGGAATTTTTTCATTTTATATTCAATAAAAAAAAACAAATCCTCGCTATTTTTAGGTTTTATTAAATTGAAATCAATCGTTCTCCAAAAAGCACATTTCACAGACTCATCAAATCGGCACAAATTCGATTCTTCAATAGCAAGCAATGAAAAAAAAAGCTAGGGTTTCAGGCTTTCCTTTTACGGTGCTTTGTGTTTTTCACGGCGACAGAGAGGAGGGGGGAGAAGGGAGGGAGTTTTAAAGAGCTTGAAGTTTCAAGATTGCTTCCCTGTGAGGGCGTGGGTTCGTTCTATTTGTTTCTTTTTTTTTAATTATTCGGACAATTTTCGAGACGCGGAAATGACGATGAGGGACGGGTATGGTAGCCTAAGATGGGGTAAACGAAGCTGATGATGAGGACTAGGATGATTGGTCGTTGATTTCTGTGTTCGGGTCCAGATCTGATTCTTTGGGCCCTTTTGCCAGTTTTAAGGCGTGGAAGCTTTTAAAAAAAAATTAAATGTGATTGATTTCAGGTAGTGAATCTCGTTTATATCATCGCTAATGGACAAAGTAATGATTGCTCCATCACAGTTAAAATCGAATTTGGAATCTTCTGGCCACGTGGCTGGAGATGGACTGCCTGATCTTTTTTGGGGGGCTTTGTTATCTGTTAGTGGTGCTCTAGTCCGGGAAGTCGCACTGATGCAGCAGACAAGTCTTCTTGTGTCCCTTGAGTTTTTTTTTTTATATATAAATAAATAATTTTTTAATTAATTTTATTTTTTCTTGTTCTGTATAGTTTTATTTTTCAGAATTTTTTTATTTTTAAAAAATAGTTTTTCTGTTTTGTTTTTTCTATTTAATATTATAAGGGTTTTATAATTTTTCTGTGTAAATGGTTATGGTAGTATTTTTTGGCAAGTGAGAATAACATTAATTAAAATTAAATATTTTGAGTATTTTTTTTATAATTATATTGTTATTAATTTTTAAGA